AAAAAATATTGAAGGCTATATACATCTTTTAGGACCAAAATATTTTCACACGCATGCGAGAGATACCTTAACACTCAAGAGAAGTATTGCTATATATATATATATATATATATATATATATATAATATATAAATATATTTTGTGGCGTTATGGATTGTGCAACCCATAACACACCGTCTCATATGTGAACACTACAGAAGCAGCGAGGATAACAGGCGTGTAAGCAGAGTTCTTAAACGCGCGGCCTGGTATCCGTTGCCCGTACTAAACGAATGCGAACTATCGAGCTATGTTTTCTTTGTGAAGGGTTGAGAGAGGGAAGTAGCAGCCCCACAACGAATTTCCCCAGGCGCCGCGCCATATAAACGCGAACCCGCAAGCGGAAGCTCACTTTTCTGGTCACCAGCGCCGAGTAAGCAGCTGCTCTCTTGATCACCGTTCGACGAGTCAACATTTCGTTAAACATTAGATATTGCTTGCCGCTGCAACGACTATAGGTAGGAGTATCGGCATCGAACAGACGTTCTAGTTAGCCGTCCGCGAGATAGTGCAAGATTAAGTAGTGTTTTCCATTAACAACACGGGAATGAATATGTTACCGCTTGTGAAGGAAACATTAAAAGTTCTGGCTTGTCAAAGTAAAACGTAGCAACGAGCGAGGAACTTGCACGAGTATTCGGTAAAGTGAAGGGACATTTTCGCAACGTGGAGCGTAGTCAGAGGCGCCGGTAGCAGACGAGGAAGATGAAGCGGGCGAGGATCCAGGCGCACGTGAAGAAGCGCGAACGGTTGGGAGGAAGAACGGAAGAGGACGCAAGAAAGGCATCGGCAGACGGCAGAGGCGAATCCCGTCTCTCTTACGACGCAGAGCGCGACCGAGCGGCGCACCGCAGCGCACGCAGCGGACGACCGATCAAGGCCAAAGCGGGAAGTCCACGAGGTAAACAGTTAGGACTGCAGAAAATAGTAGCGTTCCGTCGGCAGGGAAAACTAGTATAGGAAAGTGTTAAGAATTTGAGGACACGGGTGGCAACAAATTAACAGTATTATAGTAGCAAACGTTTTGATGCGCTTTGGCCTGCTAAAAATATATACTTAGGAAATTATTTATTTCGCTATTTTCAGACGCAGTTAAATTGTAAATTAGAGTGTGCACTTGCACACATTTGTTCTTTACATGTAAATATTTTGAAGCGAGAGATTGTAAATTGAATTTTTGTTTTACGTGCAATGTAATAGAAATAGCACAAATTTAGATAGAATTAATTTTCCAAGGGAATTCCCAGTGTAGTTAGGTTAATTATTTCAGAGTATCAATTTTCAAGTAAATTATGTGTCCATTCATATGAGTGTGTGTGTTGTAAAGGTTTCTATCTGTGTTTTGATTATTCTTTGTAAAAGTGTGATTCCAAATTCTTGGTTTTTGTTCATCAACTAATGCCACTAAAAGTTTATGGTAAATTTACGCTCGTTTGTGGTGCAATCTGTGTGATTTTTTTTTGTGTCAAGGTTCAAACCTTTCTCGCACCCTGAAGATCCTGCTCCCTAGTATTTTTTTTAAAACGTCGCTAACGAGCAAATCTTGATAACCCGCTTACGGTTCATGCCTGCCTACTGTGTGTGGGTGTAGGTGGGTATGTTAGAAATATATATATATATATAGTATATATATATATATATATATATATAATATATATATATATATATATATAAGCAAAACGGGCCACGGCACCGCGCCGATCTTCCCTTCCCGTTCCTTATCCTATACTCTCTCTTTACACTCACTCACAATCACAAGCACTACACTACCACATATCCCGGCCGGGAGCTTAAAGCTTGTCCCGACTGTGGCGGTGCCCCGCTGACGGAAGATACCTGATTGTGGAAAACCCTGTTAAATGAGAGTCGCTGGATCTCACCATCCAGCGGGGGAAGATAACTTTCACCACCATAGGAAAAATATGGACGACACTTACGGGACTAATGACCTTAGCAGATGGCTACCCGGGAATCATTAATAAACCAATGTGGAGAGGACTCTCGTGAAAGGGAGGCGAAATTGGAACCAAGTGTGCACCCGGTGAAGAGTGTTCTCTTTAGAAGTCAGGTTTTCCATTCCTATGCAGTCTGATGCCGCGTGGGAGAGTCCACTGGGGCTCAACGATGATTGTATATGAACATAAATGGTAGTTTATTACTAAGTTATGAATTTGACCTTGCCCCTGTGTAGTATGCAACACTCAGTGCACAGGAGTTTTGCAGAAACGGATACTTTTTTAAAATTTTAATTCTTGCTCGGCCTGTGGCCCTCAACAGCCGTGAATGACCGATACAGTAATTCATTTGTGTAACCAGGAGTACATGATTTTTTATCGTGGTTATTTCATTTCAGATGCACTTCATATTATATGGAAAGAATAATCGCTCCCAGTTTGCTTAAGAAGGGTCAATCAATTTTCTGGCTAATTTCCTTTTGAAACGTTTTCGATGAGGGTTCTGGTTATCTAGTTTGAAATGTGTAGCTGAGGTTATTCGCGAAAATTTGTTATAGAATTTAACAGATTGAGGGGAGAAATGTACAGTGATGGGGGTGATACTGAGTTCTTGATGGAGTTGAAAGTTTAAGATAAACCAAGGTGCATTTGTAATTATTCTTAGGTATTTATTTTGGAACGTTTGGGTTTTGTAAATATTGGTTTAGATGCAGCGGTCCAGACTGGAGATGCATAACATAATATATGTTGTATCATTGTTTGGTGTAGATGGTTGTGTGTAATTGAAGTAGAGAAGATTTCGTAAGTAAGAGATATAACTGATGTGTTCTTCTAGTGGCTAGTGCAATATTTTGCATGCTATTTCACCTCCATGTCAGTCTTCTGTCGAAAAATACTCCCAGGTATTTTGCCGTGGCGTTCGCGCGAATCCATGCTATATTATGGTTTTGATAGGTGAATGTGGTTGGGACGAGGGGTCTTTGAAGAGTGAATATTTTTCCGTGACTCTTACTTGCGTTTATCTGAATATGCCATTGTTGTGCCAAATCGGAAAATACGGTGAGATTACTTTGCAGATTCTGCATTGCTGTTTCTATGTCTGAATTTGTGGAGTAGATTTCTGTGTCATTTGCAAAGGTGGCAACGGATGTTGATGGTGTGGTGGATACGGGGGCTATGTAGATATTGAATAGGGTTAGGGAGAGTCTCAAACCATATGAACGTCTGATTTGATGAGATATGTTGTTGAAAGTGCGCCAGAAACATGTACTGAAAAAAATATGTTCGCTCAAATATTTGAGAGAAACCTTATTTGCTGAAATGGTTGTTTGAGTTTATAACTTACACCAACTATGTAATGAGATATTAACTATATGTCATGGATATTGAATTAAAAATAGGATTTAGACATTCAAGATATATTTTGGGTACTTGAAGAACTTGAAACGTGGTAAATATCACCTATGACCAGATTACTTCGCACAATCATTTGAGTTGAATGATATTAAAGTTCTATTAACATTTTGATGCAACTTTGAATCATTTATATATTATGTTGTCTTTACTTCTGCACGCGTGATTAAAAATATTGAATTTATTCTAATACAGTACAAAAACATGAGATGGCTTCGAAAATATATTCATTCACCGCGTGCAACCACCGACTACTGACGAATGAGGGGGGGCATAGCTGAGGATAGTAAACCGCGTCCTTAATCAAATTGAGATGCAAAGTCCACCGCGAACTTCGCAAGTAACTAAAAACAACCCGGAAGAGAGTGCTTCAATGACGCACTCCTTTGATCACCAGAAAGAAAGGACGCACCCTCCAGGCGCCGGGGTCCCAGTGTTGCCGCCGAAACTCCAACGAAAAATTTGTATGTAAACTTTTTAGAACGACATTGGTTCGAATGCACCTCGGCCAATGCTCTCCGAAATCAATGCTGAGCAATCAGAGACTGGAATGCGCGCGGAAGGTGGGAGTTCTGAGCTTTCGTTATTCGAAGGACAGGGCCCCTAAAGCAGACGGTGTCGGAGATGCGACCAAGGTAGGGTTGAGGTGTGATCGAGGTAGAGCTGAGGTGTGATCGAGATAGAGCGGAGGTGTGATCGAGATAGAGCGGAGGTGTGGTAGAGATAGAGCGGAGGGGTGGTAGAGATAGAGCGGAGGTGTGGTAGAGATAGAGCGGAGGTGTGGTAGAGAGAGCGGAGGTGTGGTAGAGATAGAGCGGAGGTGTGGTAGAGATAGAGCGGAGGTGTGGTAGAGATGGAGAGTGAGATGTGATCGGGGCGGAGAGGGAGTCTGAGATGTGATCGAGGTCGAGTTTGAGAGGGCCTCGAGTGTACAGATTATTGACCTAATTGCTTAAGGCCTATTCACAATACAAACTTTAATATTGGAATCCTGTAAATTTTGAGTATCTTTTACAAACCACAACGAACTTATGGCGAGTAAAATGGATTCCCCAGTGGTCACACAGGTTGCGCTGACGGTAATGCTCTTGCAACAGTAAGTGCAAGAACAGGCAGAGATGCGGTCATAACAACAATTATAAAGTACGGAAGCGCTAAAAACGGTGAGGGAAGTCATCGGAAAGCAACTCCAGCTTTCGTCCATCCAATTTTATACGGAAACAGAAGAAGAGGGCGAATATCGAAGTATATTTGAGCAACATTTAAACTGCTGTAAGATGGGAGATCTAGAGATACAGAAGGCGTTTCTTCATTTTGTGCGGGTAGTGATGTAACAAAATTACTTTAAAAAATACTTCTAGAACGAGATATCGTTAAGATAGATTTGGCGAGCATTAAAGTTCTTAGCAAATACTTTTATACAAACCCGCGCATTGATGATGATGATGATGATGATGATGATTATCAAATATAAAATTAGGAAAGATTGCAATGACGAATGAAATGTCAAGCGAAATCACACGTCAGATACCTGCCAGGACAGGAGTACTATAAATATGCAAGAGGAGAGACGCAGTGGACACTAGGCCGAAAATGAGGGCAAAGGCCCTCATGGTAAAGGTAACTGCGCGAGGACCCAAAGGTAACTGCGCGAATGGAAGTGACCGCGACCGTGAAAATGGTTACAGACCTAGGTTCAGTGGAGCTAGGCCGAAAGGCATTACAAGTGTTCACAGTAACAGTGCGACAGGGACTGTGAGCAACAGTGACAGTGAAAACAAATACAGTAGTTTCTTAGGCAAGTGTAGCAAGTCGTTCAAAAATTGTATTAGATTTAATCCCAGAAATGTATTTTTAGGCACGCTATGATTTTCACGCAGGAATGTCGGGCACATTAGAGAAGTGTGAGAAAGGCAACAAAAACATAAGCAGCGTGGGTACTGCGAAGAAACTTACGAGCGAATGGATACATTCACAATTTAGAAAGTATTGATCGCTATGGACAAATTGATGAATTGTGAAATTGAAATTTCGCAATATCATGATAGAATTTTTATATACTCTAATTAATTCTAGCTGTTATTAATTTAAAAAGGTACCAGTGGTTAGGGAACCCCAAGATGGGAAGGGAATCAACCAAGCACAGGTTTCTTTACAAAATAAACACCGCTTCCTCTAAAGCACACATCATATGCAGGAATTGAAGTTCCTCGATATTGTTGTGAATGTTCCAAATGCACTACGTGCTTACCACTGAACTTCGGACAGATGCTTTAGAAGAGAGATATGTATAGACAACTGACAGGTTTACATATATGTGGCACAGTTATTTGAATGTGACACTAATGGTGCCACAACACGTACTTTCTCGGTTATATATGATTATAATACCAACGTTCTGTCCATATTAACACATCTTAGTCATTACTCGTAAAACTCATTACCAATCGTAATGCTTTAATTAATTTAAAATATTAGATTAAATTTATGATATACAATTTACGGTAATAAATCACGATTTAATTTAATGTAAAATGCAATTAATTTGAAAGACATATATGAACAAATTTGTCCTTCCAGAACTCTCGTCCATGCACAAAGGAACACTGCTAAAAAATGAGAAGTTATTCTGGGAGCTTCAAAGAGTCGAGTCGAGGCAATGCCATTGATTTATTGCGATATGATCAATCCTGAAAAATTCTAGCTAAGTAAATGCGCGAAATTGAAATTCGAAAATTCGAAAATTAGCAATATCCATAGCCTTTTATAAAGAAATGATTTTTACTTTCTCGATAATGCTTACACAGTATAAAAAGGGTATTGTAATGCTTCGGGTAAATACGGCGAATATTCAACAGAAAAACTCTTATTGACGGACTCTGGTAACGAAAAAGTGAATAAACCTTGTCCCTATATGTAGTAAATTATTTGCTCTGTTTTTGGTATCAAAGATCCACAAAACATGGACTTTGACAAGTCGATTGAGGCCAGAACATCTGAAAGTCTGTATGTGAACAACGCTAGCCGACGAACAGTTGTAGCGGCTAAAAGTAGGATTTTCACTAGAATTGATATTTCTCAATTGATCTGGCGTATGTCACGGCTCTTTCCATTTGAAATAGATATTTTAATTTTAGTGGACATTTTACATGAATCCGTAAGGAATTTTAAAAAACTGCTACCAAACTTTTTATTAAATATTTTTAATGGATAGCTGGAAGGAATTTTAAGAATATGGTGCACGTCTCATTTTCGTTAAAAACTCTGATATTTCGAAAATTGCATAAGTTTAATTTCTTTCGCAATCTTTCTATAACTAAAAGATTGCAGGTAGAGATTTTTTCGTTAATGTATTTTTTTAAATATTTTTATTTAAATATTTTCTTTAAAGACAGATTTTGATATAAGCTCTTGTACAATTTTCAAAAGTTTGAGTCGTTTGCCCGTAATTTTGTTTGAATTATAGAATATTTTATCAAAAACTGCGCCAAATTTTTAGATTAAGTTTTGATCTTGAATAGCGCAAAAGACGCTCAAGAGGTTGATGCCATTGTCATTTATGTTAAAAATCATGATTTTTCGAAAATTGCAAAATTGCGGCGTCTTCCGACAACTCTAATTATGAAGTTAAATTTGTTTTTTCCCCTAATCAAATTGATTAATCAAAAGTATATCTTGAAATAAAGTCATGTTCAATTTTTCGATAAATATGAGTATTTTTGCGTAATTTTCCGTCAAACGTGAGTCAGTTTTTAAATTTTAAACAAGAATGTTTTCAGAAACGGATCTAATTTTTTAATGAGTGTAGCAATGTACGATAAAGAAAATGGTGCTGTTCCCTTTTTCGGCCCACTCTCTATTTTCGAAAACTGAGAAAAATAGTAAATTCGAATTTCACGCGCTTTCTATGAGATAGAGTTAGTCTGTAAGAGTAATTTGAGAAGTGCTTGGAGGCAGTTGGATATTGATAATCCCATCTTGTTGGTTAACTTAATATTAAATGACTATATTATTAATTGTAAAACATTAGTAATTTAAATAGTTTATTATTATTATTATTACTGTATTATTATTTAATGAATGATGATGGATGAAAGGAATAGGATAATGGTAGGAGGTGTTAGGTGGGGTAGTAGAAGGTAGTTTGTGTACGTGGGATTTTAGAACCATGCCAGCATTCGCTTTGTGACCGAAGAAATCATGAAAATCCCGGTCAGGATGGCCGTCCCGGGGGTTGAACCCGGACCTCCCATTGAGAATCCCGAATCGAGCGCGCTACGCACTGAGCCACTTTGCTCGGTTAATTAATGTATTATTATTATTATTATTATTATTATTATTATTATTATTATTATTATTATTATTATTATTTTTATTTTTATTCCTCTACATCACGACTAAGATGTGTGTCGCAAAATAAGGGCTGTTCCAAATCAAACAATTTCGTGCACTTTCCAGTCTTTTGAATGACCTGGGAGTTTAGACAAGTTGTTACACTAATTAGCAAAATTATATTACTATTACTATTATTATTATTATTAATATTTTTATTAGTCAAATAAGATCCCAATAAGGGCAAGTGCTTATTAGCATCAGTGACAGTTTTTTTATCAGCAGTGTTCTAAGATAATATTTAACGCGGTATTGCCATACAAGCTGCGACATAGCAATTTGAGAAATTATTTCGAGAATTTCTATTGTTTGGCGGTGACATGAATAAGAGAGCGATAGAGTAAGGGGGTTTTATTTACTAAATAGTAATGTTTCAATGTTACTACGTTCAATAAAATGGAATATTCAACTAGTATATTAAAGTAAAGCAGCATATATATGAGCCGTTGAGAGTAAAAAAGGTGTAAGACAAATTTTGGAAGATATGAGTTAGATGCACTGGTATGTTGTTTTAATATTTTCCCATCACGGGATAAAATTGTGTGGGTCAAACTTTAATATTTCTTCGCTAGAGCCAAGCACACTGCAGTATTAGCTAACAAGTTGCTCATACCGCTGCATAAATTGTGGTGTAAGTCACAGATGGGACGAATCAACAGCTTCTTGGGACTCCCAAGAAATAGCTTCTTGTTCATCTGTGCCCATCACAGAAGGTCTTCGGAAAAACATTTAACCGCTTTTAGTGATACGTGCACAGGTCAAATTCGCAACTCAAAATTGTTCTAATTGAGCTAAAAATCGTGACAAAGCCAATAATTAAAACATTATTGACCACAAATTTTTTGTATCCGCTATTCATTTATGAAAAATTACTTCGATTTTGGAAACAGAGTAATCTAGCAAAATTAAATTCATTATATTCCCCCAGGCAGGTATAATACCATCCGTTCTACTCGAAAGAAGAACAGATGTGAAATAGCCCAAGCAGATTTTAAGGCGTCTTCGCAGCTTGAAAAAGCAATTGCGAAAAAAAGAAATAATACAAAAGCCGAAGTAAATTTGCGGCAAATACAGTGGATGGAACCTTTCTGTTACCTGTAACTAGAAAAAAAGACATTATGGAACTTCTGCAATACATACCTCCAGTTTACCACAGTTCACAACTCACTAAAGAGATTCCTAGTTGATGAGGATACTCGTATAGGACCATTAGAAAAAGTTCGAGATGAGGAGCCCGAACCAACTTGTCAACTGAGCTCTGCTGACTTACCCTTCACCAAAATGCTTATTCTTAGTGGTTATATTTCCAAATTGTAACAACAGTAAAAACCTTCTATTTTATTTTATACCATATTAACTAATTATAATTTACATTGTATAAATTATCAAAATATAGTGTGTAAATACATCTTGTATCTTATTATTTTATGTTTTGCGTTAATTTTACTTTATTTCCCTATTTTCAATCATTACTGACGCAGCACGTTTCATTACTGCAGTAGTGAAAGTCAATAAAATAGTTAAGTACAATTAATAAGCAATGATTCAGTCCAAAATATCTGTAATAAGTTAAAAGAATAGCTCTTTAATACGTGCATAACACTTTCGGTCATTTACTTCTAATCATTTTGCGGAAAGTATGTGTTTGACCTAGTACACCACTTTTGCAGTCAACAGCTCATACATAGGAACTAATTTTTTTTTGCATAATTTGTACATTTTGTAATGGCCCCGAAGCGTTCGTACTATTATATACATTCATAAGGTAATATATTGTGTTCTTCAGTGTCGGATATTTAATTTATGCGTGAAACTATACTTGCTTGTGCATATAATATTCTGCAAATATTGTAACAGTTGAGATTTATTCATGTTTGTTATTTTGTAGTAGTAAGAAAGGTCTACTGTCCTTACCGAAATAAAAGCAGATATCCACCGAAGGCGCTTTGTTTGAATTTATTTGAACCCTTTCGAGTTACGGCAGAATTTCCCAAAACTATTATATAACGTAACCGATCCCAAGAATGCGAAAAAGTATGTACTGTTGTAGAACCTCTAGTTTAACACTGATTTCATTCGACGAACAATTCTATCCCATCAATATTGTACTTTTTCAACGGTAATTTTTTGTTGCATTTTGCAATTTTTGAAAATAAAGAGTTCGTCAAAAATGGGCCCAAGGCACATTTTACTTTCTCGCTACCGCTTTCGTAGTAGAGAGAAAGTTATTTAATGTGGCGCAAAAAATCGGCAGTAAAACACTAATTACAGGACCCTGGTAACGAAAACGAGGATAAATCCAATCGCTAAATTTAGAAAAAAAAATCCTCTAACACGTGGTGTAGCCAAAATCCATGTTTTGTGGGCCCTGATACCAAA